GGGTCTAGGGTTTAGGGTTTCGGGCCGCCGTCAAAGAGGATGCGAAGGGTTGCTCGGGGAGATCTTATAGCATGAGACCTGTCGGGTAGCCTTCACCACAAAGCTCAAACCCGAAGGCCGAAAGCTTAAACTGAACCCTAAACCCTAAACTAGGGCCTGAACCCCAACCTTATATGACTCATCTCCAAGGCTAAGGCTGCTTCCGGGCACGAGCAGCTTCAAAGCAAGGGAGCACAACAAACGGTGATGATGAGGGCACATCTGCATCACCATCATCATGCCATTGAGGAGTGTGGTAGCAGCAGTGATCATGGAAGTCCCACCCTCCCCGCACCTCGGCGAAGCTCGGAGCTCGGGAAACTTGAGCCCAGGAAGGCATTCGTCGGCGTGCTTGGCTCAGAAGCTCCGGGAGTTTGGGAACAGGTCGAAGGGCGCGACTGGGTATAAGAACTATGCCAACTATGCTCTGTCACTTTGTAGGGCTGTAGGGAGTCTGAGTATACACAAATAGCGCCCCTGGGTTATTCGGACAGGTGATATATGGATCGGAGGACGAGGTTCGAAGTCATGTCCACACAAGACATTGCTGCCCACGCCTGTCTTCCTGTGTGCTCATGCATTCTTCCGGGTTCTTCTCAGGGAACTAAGTTGAAGTCACTGAAGAAGGAAACAACCCCATTGATGGCTCCGTTAGTCCCTCCAAAACATACTAAGACAAACACTTTAGATTGTATAGTGTATAACATACGTTACATACACACATACTTACTTACTTATATACTCACATGCACCCATGCATAAAACACAGATACATACATGCATACACCCCTCTCATGGTAGCTCAGGCTTTCCAGCCTTTTGACGACGTGGAGCCCGCTCAGCGAGTCTGTAGTGCTGGAGGAGAATGGAGTCTGGTCGCAAGTGGTATAGGCGTCAGGGTTTATTCGAATAGACTCTGGCCGCAAGTGGTCTTGTGGTGTCGAACTCTTGTGACACGCTCCCCCAACTCCAGACGGATAGTGGAACCACGGCCTGCGACTCAGACTTGGACACCAGACAACACCGTCAACAATCTCCAAGCTCCTCGGAAGTCATATCCATGCGGGCAATGCCCTTCTTTGTGTGAATGCTCCCAAACCTCACGGAGCTTTCAGGGCTTCGAAGCCACCCTCCAAGGCTGAAGATGTGGCTACCGTCGCTGCAGAAGCGGCGAAGGCCTATGTACATGGCGGTGAAACTCGTGAGACTGTGGCAAGGGCACCTTGCGGATATCTCCGAGTTATCTATGACGAAGCCCTGAAATTAATAGAGTTGAAATGATCTGGATAGACTAGAACAGACTAAATACATCGCTTCCTGAACCAACCTTGGACCTCGGGTGCTCAGATTCCGGGCGCTCATCGCAGCACTTCCCGGACCTGCGGCCTGAAAAAAGGCGGAAGGGGAAATACGAAGCCCCGAGGCGAGTCGCTTTGGGAGAGTTTGGGTTTCTGTTTGAGGGCTACCTTAAGAACCCAAAACCCCACTTTTTTGTAGGTTCTTATTATAAACCCTAATATGGGATTTATAGGGACCCTACAAAAAAGTAGGTTTGGGGTTCTTCAGGTAGGCGTTTAGGGTTTAGGGTTTGAGGCCTCACGGTGAAGGCAGTTTAGAAGTCTAGGCTGCGAAGATGGAAGGCCAGGGAGAAAGAGGCCCCATTCTGTCGGAAGCTTTCGTGAAACTTTAGTGACTTTAGTGCACATCAAGACATAGTGGGCTTCATTGAGTTTGTTGACGGGCGAGGGCACAGCCTTGCACCTTTGGGGGGTCTTGGTGCAGGCAGACAGCGGTCACTTAAGGCAACGTGCTGCCCATGGCTTGTGCAGCGCCGGTGTGAGCACACAGGTTCCTTTGCCGGGGCTTCACTGGGAACATCCTGGGGCCGCTCTTTATTCCCTCTACACACAGAGGCAGATAAAAACCCTCTGACACACAAGCGCACGCTCACACGCAAAACACAACAAACAAACAAGCAAGCAAGCAAGCAAGCAAACAAATACACACATACGCACCTGCCATATTAACTGGAAACACAATGCCCGCTGTCCATAGCCCTCAAGATCCTCAACTAACCGTTCTCATGAATGGTACTCCTGTTCTGCGGGGTCGGGGTACACTCTGAACGCCACACGAGCACAACCGACTGCCGCCTTGCAATGCCGCTCGAGCCTCAGTTTCAAGTGTGTTGCATTTACAATAGAAGGGAGTGCATGTGCACCGTAAGGCCTACGAGTGTCCGTTTAAGGGTTGGGGGTTCGAGGTTCGGGGTTCGGGGTGAAGTTGCAGAATTTGAAAAGGTTTGCTTCTCGTTTTTTCGGAGGAAAGAACGAGTGGAAGAGAGGCGAACGCTGGGACGAGGAAGCACAAGACGACGGCAACTTAGCTGGAGAAGTTCGATAATATCAAGTTCCCTACCCCATTCAGCAGCCCTGCATCCAGCATCCTCATGTCAAAACAAGCCCCGAACAGGGGAGATCCCGGGGCGAAGAAATGGTGGGTACTGTTGGCCCCGAATGCCCAGCAGCTCACCCTAAACCCTAAACCCCCTCCCCCAAACACTCCCCAATGGCAGCCCAAAATCCCGGCCAAATGCTCTAAACGCCAAAACCCAAGAAACCCTAAACTTAAACACCGAAGCCTAAACCCCAAAGCACTAAACCCGACCCTAAACAACTGCGACAAGCCCCTACAGAGCTCTTTCGTTTGGGGGGGGCTCCTTATTATAACTATAGTACTACTATAATTATAGTAATACTATAATTATAGTAATACTATAACTATAGTAATACTATAATTATAGTAATACTATGATTATCGTAATACTATAATTATCGTAATACTATACTTATAGTACTACCATGATCATAGTAATACTATAATTATAGTAAAACTATAATTATAGTAATACTATAGTATAATAGTATACCCAGGAAGCCAACAGCTGCCACCAGGCCGCCGTGAAGTCGCCGCGCGCGCGTTGCTGGCACCTGATCGGCGTCTCAGGGTTTAGGGTTTCGGGGTTTAGGGTTTAGGGGTTTAGGGTTTAGAGGTTTAGGGTTTAGGATTTAGGGTTTAGGGTTTAGGGTTTAAGAGTGGAGGTCAGGGTTTCAACTCCTGGGTTTTTGTGGGTTTTCATAGGGTTTTCAGGGCTCTGACAAGTTTAAACGGATTGCTAAAGCCTGCCGATGACGGTGGTTCACCAGAGTGTTTATGGAGAGGGTCAAGGGTCTGAGGTTCTTCTCGTGGGGAATCGTTTTAGAGGGGCTGAGGGTTTTGGGTTTGGGGTTTGGGGTTTAGGGTTTAGGGTTTTGGGTTTTGGGGTTTGCTTAGTTCAGCTCCAGGGAAGAGTGACCCAAAAACTGCACCACGACTACCTGTCCCTCACGACCCATTCTCTGAGCACGAAACCCTCCAAGGCCTCAAATGCAAAACACAGTAGCAATTATAAATGCTCATCATACTGGTAATATTAATACCTAAACCCTAAACCCTAAACCCAAAACAGGAGGCTACATCTTCGAACCCCTACTCTCCATGGCTTCGGGCTCCAGAGGCTACGTGAGGCCCTTCTCCCAAGGCAGGCCGAGGCTACGGCGGTTTGCAAAGAGCCGTCTAGGAAGGAGACCTGCAGGGCCCAGCTTTTCGCTTAGGGTTTGGGGTTTAGGGTCTAGGGTTGAGGGTCTAGGGTTTAGGGTCTAGGGTTGAGGGTTTAGGGTCCAGGGTTTTTAGGGTCTGGGGTTTAGGGTTTAGGGTCTAGGGTCTAGGGTCTGGGGTTTAGAGTTTCTCCCTGCCGCCTACTAGGGTCCGCGCTATGGGTCTTGGGTTTCGAGGTTTATGGCCAGGGTGTCTTAGGCTTAGACTGCATCAGCCCAAGACTTACGGGACCATGGGAAGTCAAAGCTCTAAGACTCTCATAGCAGGAGTTGTCTTAAGTTGACACAGTATAGTTTAAATACAAAAGTTGATATAATCTTTGACAGAATTAGTTACAAGATGGTTTAATACAAAACAAAATCATAAAAATACTATAACTTCAGTATAACGAATCATATAAAGAACCCTTCGCGAAGTGGGGATCTCTCTCAAAGTCACGCAGTCTCCGTGCTGTAGATACTTCTCATCATCAAATGCTGCCGGTTTCTGTCCGGCAAATATACAGGGTTTACAGTTCAGGGTTTAGGGTTTAGACATATGTACACTCGTATTGTCTATGCATGATTCCTGCACAGAGAGAGGCAGGGAAAGAAACCGCAAAAACCTCTCAAACATTCACGTAGGTTAAGCCCTCCCCCCCCTACACCTGAAAGCCCGCGGCCAACGGCTGGCCTGGATGCAGTTGGCCGTGGGGTCATACCTCACGAGTCTGCCGGACTGGCAGGACCTTCAAACACGCGCAGACAAGAAAACTATTGTAGTGAATCAAGGTGGGCTGTCAATGTTCGTTGTGATAATCTGATAGGTTTCTGATAGGACAAGACATAGGTGCTTGCAGGAACTGTGAATAGAAACGAGTTGCAAAGAACTCCATCTGCATAGCTGAAGAGAGGGTAATGGAAGTCACACCGAATGTAGGCGAAGCACCACGACAAACTCAGAGTGTAGCTGCCTTCCAGAAATCCACTGCATCAGCACTGCAAGTGCGTCGCGGACCCTATGAAAGAAAGCATAAAGCATCTTTAATCAACCCTTATAATTATAGAGGACATCCGCAGAATGGAAGCTTGTATCCTCAGGATTCAGGAGATATCCGGGATAATGCAAGGGCTGAACACTTGAAATAAACGGGGGCCTGAATTTGAAGTACTCTGCGATGGGATTGGTATTTGCCACCGTCGTTATAAGTGACCCTCTGGAACAGTACTGCTAGCTTCTATTCGAGCCCCGATGTTCATCAAGCTACAGCTCCCCAGACGTTTACAACGTGGGCCCCCCAACCCTACACCCTATTAAACCGCTTCAATCTTTAGGCTTCCCTTTGCCGGAAGGCCCAACCCCAGGAATCCTCAAGTGCTCAATAATAAGATAGAACTAATGAGTTAATATCATGCTCATAAAAGCTACGACAAGGCAATGATGTAATGCAGTATTATATACAAGTATCTGGAGACGGGCTTTGGGGCTTTGGAACATGCAAAAGCTATCGAGCTATCGATGAACAAACCATTTCCTGCTCCTCAATCCAAGTTTGGATGTTTGGGTTGTGGGGTTTGCAGTGTGCTCACTTGAATAAAAACCCACGCTTGCGTCGAGGAGTTTTGCTCACTGGAGATGGGCTCTCCGTGTGCCACGGTGCGACTGAGCCGAACATCAGGGTACTACGTAGGGGCCTTAATTAATTTAATTAGAATACTATAATGATAATAAGGAGCCCTCAAAATAGTATTGCGAGAGCAAGAGGTTTGGGCCTTCGGGCTTGAGACTCACAGGCGCTTCCAATTCGCTAACGTCTCTTTTCCCATCCCTTTCTGAACTTGTCTTTGACAAGCAGGTGTGAATGTGCATCAATTAGTGCACATGAACAGGGCAGTTTAGCAGCAACTACATCGGCTCAGGAGCAATCGGCATTTAGGAGAAATCCTGAGCCGCAGCAGTTCGCTGCTGCGCACATCCGCTCTCCTCACATCGTGCTGTTCATCATTCTTTTGCCGGAAACGGCCGCTTTGAGGTCGCATCCTTCGACTCTAACAGAGTCTTGAGGCTTTCCTTAGCACGAACAGTATCTGGATGCTTGGGCGTCAAAGCCTCCCGTCTTCCTTCAAGCACCTCACGTCGATGCTTGACTGCCTCACCATGCCTTCCCAACTGCTGCAAAGTTGCAGCTACACAAGACTGCGCACGAAGAGTATCAGGGTGCCGTTCTCCCAGAAGCTTACTTCTCTCAGCAAAGACTTCTTCTCTCAGATCCAAGGCTTCATCGTGTCGGGCCAGTTCTCCCAGGGACCAAGCCAGATTCGCTTGAGCGTTCAATGTGTCCTCATGCTGCTGGCCCAAGGTGTCCTTGCGAATGTTCAATATCTTCGTCTGTGACTCAATTGCTGAGTCATACCGTTTCAACCTAGTTAGATTCCATGCGCGAGCAGCTTCGGCATCGATAGTGTCCGGATCACGGGATCCAAACCTTTCATTCCTTGCACGAACGACTTGGTTCAGCATATCCAAGGCCGCCTCATGCTCGCCAACAGCACCCAAACTCCACGCAACATTCGCCTGAGCAGTTAGAATGTCTGGATGACCTGCATCAAGGAGCTCCTGGCTCGTTCGCAACACCTTCCTCTGCACGGCCAATGCCTCCTCATGCTTGCCCAGATCTCCCAAACTCTTCGCCAAGTTCGTTTCGGCCCAAAGTCCCAGGGTGGTGCGCAGACCAACCTTTTCAGCCACAGACAGCAAGGTCCGGTAGAACTCTGCAGCTGCCTCGTAGGAATCGCCATATCGCCCTTCCTGCGCGAGCGCTAGGCTCCGGAGGCCAAAGCAGAGGACAATTTTCGCGCAGCTGATGGCAATGAACAGGGACTGTGCACTGGACCCTCCGTAAAGAGCTACAAAAAGTGATTGCAGGCAGGCCTGAGGTAAGTCTTCAGTGATTGCGATGGCCAGTTTCGCGGGGGAGGTTTGTGTGGAAAGAAATCCATCTCTCTGTTGGTCACAGCAGGCGGCCTGCTCCGGCATCACAAACTGGGCAAGAGCTGCTGCATGGTACGTTCGCATGTATGTGTTGGAGATGACCAGGATAGCCACGCCAAGAAAAGCTAGCAAAAAGCTGAGCAATGTCCCCTTGGTGAGAGCTAGCCCAATGAAAAGCCAGTCCTTGAGCGTATCCAGACGCTCACCGACTACCGGCAAAACAGATGTCACGGTGATTGCTGCAAAGTCAGGCACAGGTGCTTCGCAGTACATAGGCAAGCGGGCAGTCAGGCAGACAGCGTGCAACAAAGAACTGCCAAGTACGACAAATAACCAGAGAAGATATACCTCCCAGCATGCACCTGCCCTTACATCCAATCTGCCTGTCAGTGCAAAGACCACCGCAGGAATAGCCCCTGACAAGTGCAACGCCAGGTGCTGATACCAAGGAACTAAAAGGGTTGAGCGATGTTGCTGCGAGTGAAGACTCTGCACATCCGAAGCGTCATCATGACGACATACACACTCATACCGTCCTGATTGGTCGTTAGCCCCGTTAGCCGAGTTGGAAAGTTGGTACCGGCAAGCCTTTGCAAACCATGTCAGTAGCTTCAAAGCAGCGAAGGCAGTCATCAACAAGCAAAGAATAGCGGAGCAGAAATAATCGCGCCTCTGGATCTTTTCGTCAGTGGTGAGTTCGTGCCCAGCGTGAACTGGGAACAGCTGAAACGGAGGAGTCACGAAATGAACATAGCTGCAATCGGTCACCTGGGACCATCGAGCTGGCCAGCTGGGGCATGTTGGACGATGGAACGAGCATTGCTGCCAAAACCGTTGCGAATAAAAGTGAACAAACTAAACAGATTCGGCACCAAGGAGTCTTTGACGGTTGAAAACTCATATGTGCCAATGCAGCGATGAAAGAGAGCACGTTGGCCACGATCAGTGCCAACAGGATCGCCAAACCAGAAGCGACAATGCTGATTACTATCTTACAAAGGATCTTCGCTGGAAGAATGGTCTTCCAGTGGCCTGAGATTCTGACAATCATGCGAATAGCACGTTCCGATCTATGTTAACAAGAGTAACAGCTGAGACAAGACAAGCAGCGTCGGGTGGGACAGGTGGGCTGCATGAGCAGATTGGGCAGAGTTGGAAGCCACGAAGCATTGCCACCTCAAAAAGCTTCGGCGCGCTGCACTGCTGCACATTACGTTTATAAGGCCTCTATGGGCATTATGAAGCCCTTCTTTCTTGCAGGTTGCACTGACAGGTATGAACCCAACGAAGTTCTCCCAACCCTAAACCCTAAACCCCAAACCCCAAACCCCTGTTGGAAGCATTTGGCCTTCAGCCGAATGCAAAAGGCGGCTCTGCCTCGATTGCCTCGATGGACCTGACGGTACGAAGCATGGCTGGTACTGTAAAGGGGCCTTAATACTTCAAAAAGGATTCCTTTAAGGGTTCTATGAGGCTTACTGTAAAGGGTTCTATAAGGGTTACTGAAGGGGGTTTACCAGCTTTCTCCAAAATCCCAAGCTCCAAGAGCTAACATTTCGAAACTTTTCCGAATGCGACCGGGTTGCTGGGCATTTGAGGCATCGCAGCCAGAGACCCAAGCAAGATGAGCAGAAGTCCGAGGCAGCAGCTGCTTGTGATCCAGATCCGGACCATGCTTTCGATCACAGCGTCGCCATCCGAGGCGAGCCGCTCAGCAAACGTTCCACTATGATGACTAGTCTGAGAACTCTGGCTGCTCTTCCATCGTATGACCCCTGTGCCCAAACAATGCAATGATCATGCAGCGAGCCTTGAAAACAGCAGGAGAGCCCTACAGGTGCGAGAGGTCCTTTGGCAACCAAACAGCCTTCCCCACAGGCTCAGAGGACATCCCAATGCCCCGATTGAACCTGATCTCAGACCTCGGCACCCCGAACTCCAAACTCCATAAATCCAGCAACCAGTAAAACCCTAAACCCTAAACCCTAAACCGTCAGCAACCAGAGGCCTAAAGTGCCGCAAGGGTTCTCATTAAGGCCGCAGCCAGCGCGCCACCCGAGCATCCGGGCCCGGCGGCAGCAGAACCTCTTCTGCTTTACCAGGCAAAAGCAGTTGGGTTTTGGGTTTTGGGTTTTGGATTTAGGGTTTAGGGTTTAGGGTTTAGGGTTCAGGGTTTAGGGTTTAGGGTTTAGGGTTTAGGGTTTAGGGTTTAGGGTTTAGGGTTTAGGCGTGAACCCAAACAAGAGTACAAGAGGATTTAAGGAGCAGAATTAGAAGCTCGCAGTGTTCATGGTTACTTCGGCCACCACCACCTCCATCATCATCAGCACCATCACCATAATCACCATCATCATCACCGTCATCGTCACCATCGTCATCGTCATCATTAGCAGCAGTAGCATTATCGCAATCATCACCACCATCATCACCACCATCATCAACAGGAAAGCTCAAACACTTCTCAAACCTTACAGTGCCTCCACTGCGCATCCGGCAGGCCAGGAGCCCGGTCGCTGGGCCGCGGCCCCGAGGTTCAGCCGCAAAGCCTCAAGGACAAGAGGGCTTAGGGTTTTAGCGTCATGGCCTGCAGGGCTTACGATTTCAGGCTGACGGTTGGAGAACGCATGTTGCAGTCTTTCGGGTTGGACACAGGCATCTTGGCCGCAGGGCCTGGCGTTCAGTGCCAGTTTGAGGCTGAAGGGGAACGGGTGCAACGGGCCGGCCCAATCCTCGCACCAGTCTTGGCTTAGGGGAGTATCGAGCTTCTGTTGGCCTCGGAACGCCACCCGAGACCCTACACCTACGTGCACAAGACAGGCCCTCACTTCCGCTGACAACCCAAGACCCTGAATCCTAACCCCGGATCCGCATGCAGCAACCCCGCGCCGCGCCTTATTTCCCGATGCTTGTGCCCTAAGCTCCTAGACTCCCAAACCCTCAACCCTTGACTCCTAAACCTTAAACGCCGAACTTCGAAATTCCCAAATCCCAAAACCTCAAACCCATCTAAACCCCAAACTTGCCAAGTCAACCTCGCCTCCATGCAGTCGTTGCTTTTCTGACGAGCCTGCACGACGCCAAGCGGATGTTATCAGAAAAGCAAACGACTTGCCTATCCCGACCTGAGTTCGGGGCACGGGCCTCAGGGTCTTTCGGGGTACAGTAACTGTTTGGGATTTATGGTTTCGGGGTTTTGTGCCACACGCATGTTAAATCGTGCGCGCTTGCTTGGCTTCCTCCTTGCTCCTGGTGCTTGTTACAAACACCTGGTAGGTCTGTACAAGTCGGCGGAAGACATCTATCTGGCAGGAAGCCTGGAAAGTCTAGTCTTAAGACTTGCCGTGGTCGGTATATCTCGGAAACATGCCATTAACTAAATGTTTGCTCATAAATTCATTGTTGATTTCAGTTTCTCACTCGTCGTTGATTTTCCTAGGTTCTTAATTGTTGAGATGTGCCTGGAGGTGCGTGTTGGTGTTTTTGTTTTAATGTTTCACGGCGCTTGAACTGTTAGACGTATGTCCGTCGTTATCTCCCTAGGTTTGTGTTCTGTGGTTTTATGTCGCTAGGCCTTTGAGTGTGTTGGTGAGTTCCCTAGGTTTGCAAGCTTTTTTTGAATTATGTCTGATTGTTTCCTGAATTCATCTTGAGTTCCCTAGGGCTTTCGTTGCTGTGTTGGCCGCTTTTGAACGGTGTCAATTGTGTCGTTGATTCCCCGGAGGTTTTTTGATGTTTTGTTGATGTCCCTAGGGTTTCTTCGTGTTTGGGAGTTGCGGTTGATTCCCCAAGGTGTTTTGGACTCAAGATGCTTCGGTGATGTCCCCAGGCTCTCTGTTTCTGGAGTTCGTTTCGATTGCAGTAGGGATTTTAATGTCGGTTTTGGATTGTTTCTGATTTGTTGTTTGATGGGTTTTCATTTTCATAGTCTTGATTGTTTTGATTCTGGCAGTGTTTCTGAATTTTCTGAACTATGTTTGATGTTGTTTATTTCCTCAGGTTTTGCTGATGCCCTATGGGTGTGTTGAGTTGCTGTTGCGGTTTACCCCTAGGTGGTTTCGAAGTCGTGATAGTTTGCTTGCAGATTTGTCCGGTGTCCCCTGTGTTTAGTATTTCTCTACGTTCTGATTGTACGTGAATTCCCTGCCTGCTTTTTGATTTGTGTGTTACAAACCCTAAACCCTCAACCCTACAAACAATACCGGTACAAGAACAAACCCAAGGTCCAAGACTCACAAACCCAAAAACGAAACCACGCAACTCCAAACCCTAAACCCTAAACCCCTAAACCCGTAAACCCCTAAACCCTGAACCCCAAACCCTGAACCCCCTAAACCCCTAAACCCCTGAACCCTGAACCCTGAACCCTGAACCCCCAAACCCTGAACCCCCTAAACCCCTAAACCCCTAAACCCTGAACCCCCAAACCCTGAACCCCTAAACCTAAACCCTGAACCCCCTAAACCCTAAACCCCTAAACCCTGAACCCCCTAAACCCTAAACCCCCCAACCCCGAACCCTGAACCGCCTGAAACCCTAAACCCTAAACTGGAGACACTGCGCCGTAGACGAGGCTCCGGCTTTGAAAAATTCAGCTTGGCTTCGTCAGGCTTTGAGGAGATCCACTAGGGGTTGGGGCTTAGGTTTTAGGGTTTAGGGTTTAGGTTAGGGCTTAGGGTTCGGGGATCTTGGGCCTTGTACTAGAGGGGCCTGCATACTTACCAACACTATTTTGGGGGTTCCGAAAAATAAGTATAGTATAAATGGGCCCCAAAACCCTATTCTGGGTTCGGGATTTCAGGTAGGCTTTAGGGTCTTCGGGCGACCAGCATTTCCAGGCAGACTGCGGGACGGATGCTGCCAAACCCACGGAGGACCTGATGCCCCAAACCTCCTCACCTGAGGCTTGGGGAAGGCATCGGCCGTGCCATGTCCATCCGATCTAGAAGCATAGCATGGAAACTAGGAGCGGGGCTTGCTGAGGCATTGAGAGGCTGAGGATCACTGCAGCAGAAGTGCGGCATCAGTTCTAAGGATGTTAGGAGTCATCAAGGGCTGATGATGACACTACCTGACAGCGTGCCAATTTGCCAACTTACCCACAAACACCTCGTGTCTCTTCCACATCTGCGCAACAATTACTGGTCTGCAGAGCCTGCTCGGGACTTGAGGTGTCTAATGTCAATCTTTGTGCATTGCACATCTTCCGAGGCTCGCAATACGGTAGATCAACAAACATCATGGTTGCTAACCAGGACATGGCGCGGCTTGCAGCTCACAGCAGCTTGGCCGTCTGAGCGCTGCCGAGCATGTGCACAACTCCTTATCCCTAAGCCCTGCGCCCTAGACCCCCAAAACCCCAGACACGCAGATACGTTGTCACCAGGAATCATTTCAGGCATGGGGGGTTCCGAAAATAGGGGACCCTAATATAGTACCCTAAGTAGTAGCATCCCTAGTGCAAGGACCCCAAGATAAGGTAACTCTAAACCCTAAACCCCTTCTCTTCGGAAACTCCCATCTCCGCCGGGCCCCGGTGAATCACGCTGCCCGGACCTCACTCAGCTTCAGCTCTCCCTTGACACCCCAGCCACGCCACTCCGGCCTGTCGGCTTCGCCTAATTAATATATGTATATATATATATATACATACATACATACATACATACATACATACATACATACATACATGTGTATATATATATATATATATACATATTATATACATATATGGGACTTCATGCTTCATATATTGGGGTTACTTATTTTGAACAGGGTTTGCAGGGTATCTCATTGTATCAAAGCAAGGAATTCCGAGGGAGAGTATTCAGGCCCTGCTGTTAGCCACTATGGTCGCAACAGGCTGAGGGATGGGATGAACGGTTTAAGGTTTAAGGTTTAGGGTTTAGGGTTTAGGGGTTGAGACCCTAAACCCTAAACCCTAAGCTTTAAACCGGGAATCCACGGCCTGCCCGCCACCCGGGAGCTGATTGAGACTGGGCTTTCATGCATCGGACTCGCATCCTGAATCCCAAACTCTTGACCCTAGGTCCTAACTACCTAAGCCGTGAGAAATAATGCGCTACCCCCTGTTCAGGAAGCTTCAACCAACATCTCGAAACCGTAGACCAACATGTGGAAGGAATGAGCCTTAAATCCAACTCCGAACCCTAGACAGTAAACCCTAAACCAACATCTTGCAACCCTTATCTCTGGCCTCACATGATGGGCAATTGCCAGCTTCCCTGGATGCCTCCTCAACACCTCTCTCTAACTCGACCTGCGTTGACTGATTCTGCAAGTACGCCCAGACAGCCCAATACCCAGGACCCGGCAGAGAACACCCCAACGATGCGAGACTCCGGGAACACAGACCTACTCCTCGAATCCCAAGGTCCGAATGCAAAGGTAGGAGACAAGCCAATGAGTGTTCTTTCCTTGCGGTTCGGGGTCCCTGATTCAGCTGCCAGTATGGTAAGGATCCTACGATCCAAGGCCCACGAAAGTCCAACAGTTTCCGTTGGAGGAATCCCACGCGCCTGAACCTCTCATAGATCGACAAAGCATCCGATCTGAGCGCCTGCGGGCATCCATGCACATTTACCTCTGCCCCGGCGGCGGAGAATAATTTGCACTGGGCTGTACATCCGTACTTTCCCATCGTTGACATCATTTTCATTTTCACAACAATATCACAATCATGAACGAAGGACGATGATGAATTGGTATGGGGGTTGAGAATTACCGTGCCGTCTGGCTGAAACTGACAGGCTAAGGCTTGAGCCGTTGGCATTCTCATGTCACTGGAATATCGAAAGACAACGGCGCCGCGGCAAGAACCGGAAACAGTGAACAAACATTAAGCCACAACATCCACACCCGAAAATCCTCGATCCGACAACAATCATACCAATCACGCTTCACAAGTACAGAACACTCCATTACCCTAAACCCTAAACCCTACACTCCGTTGGGCCTCAACTCTTCGAGCCTTTTAAGATTAACGCAGGGGCCTTAATAATCAGAATGGGCTTTGGGGGTTCCCTTAGTATAATTATAGTATCATATCCCCAAACCCCTATTCTAATTTTCTAAACCCTAAACCCTAAACCCTTGTAGTAGCCCCTATAGAACCCTTTGGGGAACCCTGAGAAGGAACCCCAAAAACCCCATTCTAATTATTAAGGCCCCTAAAAAAGAACTTTATTATAGATCCCTTATGGAACCCTCTAAGGAACCCTTTAAAGGAACCCACCAAAACGCTCTTCTAACTCTTACCTTACTTTAGGGGCAGCGGGGGCGGTCCTGAGCGCTGCGGCGGTTGGCTGCATGAGCCATGGCGGCCCTGCTGGCCTCCAGAAGATGACTTGGGGCAAAGGGTGTAGGGTGTAGGGTTTAGGGTTTAGGGTTTAGCGCTTAGGGTTTAGGGCTGAGGGTTTAGGGTTTAGGGTTTGGGCGGTGAGCCGTCTATAACCACTTGTGAGAACCAGCACCATCCACTCAGTACTATGGTTACTAATCTTGTGATACGAAAAGAATAGCAGCAGTGGCATGCGACACAACATATCAGACGACTTCAATGAGTCTGAAGAACATCGAGCTCGACATTGCCGAAGACAGTACTCATCAACGCAGAGCCGTCGAGAAATATGACGGATAGGTCGGCTAGGTAGATAAATAGAAGGTACACAGAGTATCACCGAGGTAGATATGGGTATACATATATATATATATATATATATGTATATGTATGTATGTATATATGTGTATGTATATACATAATATGGAAATATGAAACAGAAAGGTAGATGGATGAATGGTGGATGGATAGATGGACAGATGGACAGATGGACAGACGGACACATGGACAGATGGACAGATGGATAGATGCATAGATGGATAGATGGACGGATGCATAGATGGATAGATGGATGGATAGATAGATAGATAGACAGATAGGTAGGTAGATGGATAGGTAAATACGTAGGCGGATAGACAAATGATCGATGGATGGATGGATGGATGGATGGATGGATGGATGGATGGACGGACGGACGGACGGACGGATGG